TGTGGAACATGTACTGGGTTCTCCATTGGGTGTGGCAGTATGCACCGTTTTGGAACCCTGCATGCATCCTAAATTCCCAACCCCATAGGTACCGACCAATTTTGTGGTCCCGTTTTGTCCCCCATGCCATACCAATGAACATGGAAACTACATACAGAATCCGGTACAGAGCGGTTTGGGGGTTAGCTTTGGTAACCACACCCACATTTTGTAAGGTCTGGTAGACTTTGCCTAAGGTATACGTTCCTTTATACGCTAAGCGATCGGCAATTACTACCTAGCTAGCTACTACTACTAGTTGTATCAAGGGTTATTGGTATTGCGACTACTGTAAAGCTTGGTTTGAAGCAAGAGGGCACTAAGTGCTCACACAAACCAATCTCGGAGTTGCATGCAGCAAGGCAGAATGCACTTGGCATTGCAAAGCAACAAGAAGTACTGTACTAGGAGAAAAAGGGACAATACTACTGCAGGGCTTGGGTGCCACTGACACTGGAAGACCGCAAAGCACCACGGCAGGTTAGAAGATCTGCAGGGAGGAGAGAGGCACATCAAGTCAAATGCCAGCCATTCCACAAGCAATGGTGGAGGAAGATCAAATTGCTTGGGCCATGCAAGTGTTGGTGGTATTGGTTCGAAAGCGGAAGACAATAGAAAACCAGCAGCTGACCCGGGTTTGGTACCCAAGATGACGGCAATGAGGAACAAAAGAGGAGGCATATGAGGAAGCCATAGAGGAAATGATGAGGAAGGAAGTGACACGATTCGCAAGAAGACACAGAATGAGATAGAAGAAGATGATATGAGACCAGCAGTGGTGGATCAACCGATACCCTGGTACAAATTCCAAAGTGAATGGAACCAGACAAGAACCGCCAGACGATAGGAATACAGCTAACCAAGTCCGGCAAATGGTGCAGATCAAGAAGACGTGTCCGTCCCCGGTTAAGAAAACAGGCGTCGGGGGTCAAAGTGATGGAGTAGTCCTGCGAAAGAACAAGGCGCCTTGACTGCGGTAGGATGAGTGGACGAGGCACGGGGTGAGGAAACGGAGTCCCGGTATGGTTGGACGAAAGCGGGAGGCTTCCGAGGTACGTGAGCCGGAAAAGAGTTGAGGAGCGGTTCCCAGGACAAGAACAACATGGGGGCAAAGGCCCGTTTCACAAAAGACCGGGTGTGCGTTCCACAGGTCAGGGCTAACAGTCAAGGGGTGGGGCCACGAGTGCTCCCCAGTGTGTGGGGCAAGCGTGCCGAGTCCACGCCCAAGGACGGACGGTGTCGTGCGGGTTCGATAACGAAGCCACCAGCCCCACCCTTAAAACGAGACCAAAAGACAGTCAGTGAACACGGGGAGAGGCGTACCGCAATTGTTACAAGGCGTACGTTACCAATCCCCGAATGCAAATGGGAATCGGCATTCAATGGTATATTGATGGGCAGTGACTGGCCAGTTCCAAAACCCTTCGATAACTGCGCTGAAAATGTCTCTCTCTTGTTTCCCCCTGGAATATCGAAGGAAGGATCAAGCATGGGCAACTCTTGGATATTTTTTCAACTACTCGGCAGGCAAGTCACAAGGAAAGAAGATACTTGCCGACTCAAACCATGAACAAGCAGTTCTGGAATTCCTGAATTTCGAAGGTATACTTCCCAATGAGGGGGATAGACGAACAAAAGTCGTGAAGGCACAGGACTTCATTACCAACTTGATACCTTCTTGCACTCTTACGTAAACATCCAAACAAATGGGATGATATGGGATCTCCATTAACGAGGAAAGCTCTACCGAAACTTCGAGCTTGTGTTCTTTACTTTCATGGTGAGGGTCGATACCTATGAGGCCGAGGTGCTCTTTGGAAAGTATAGAAGCCGTTTGGGCAATGTTAAGATGATTTGTCGATACTGCAACGTTCCAGCTCTTGACTGCGACAACCACGTTGATACGTACACAGCAAAGACACTGACAAACATACAAGAGAACTCATCGACACCAATGACAAGAAAGGATGGCAGCAATTTCCAGCATCTGAAATGACAATGCATGGATTAAGGTCAGATTCGATCCCTAGTACGATACTGGAATCCTTGGTGCTTGCCCCTCTGTGATGCTCCATGCCATGTTTTTGGGTATCTTTTTGTTTACGAGAGAGAGCTTCTTGCCCAGATTGGCCCAACCTCAGCAAGAGCCAAGGAGATTGATGCATTGGCATCAACAAATAGGGCAACTTCTCCCTATAACTCTGAACTGAGCATCCCAGGATGCAAGTTCACCCATGGAAACAGGCAGAAGAAGAAGCTGATCGCTAACGAGTACCGTGGCGTTTTGCGACTCATCGCTGCTGTATTGAGTTCCACCAAGGGTATCGAAAACCTGAAGCAAAGCGTATATTTCGCGACACCACAGCTCCGAAAGGACTGGTTGTGGCTGGTGGAGATGCTCTGGGAATGGGAGGCATTCCTGAATGAACCAGAGATGGATGTTGAAACAGTCAAGCGCTTGAAGAAGAAACATCGCTTCATCATGTAACTATTGAAGAAAGTGTTGATGAGAGCAACAGGAATGGGGTTGAAATTGATGAAGTTCCACGCGATACTGCACATGGCAAATGATATCCTTTTGTTTGGCGTACCTAAGGAACATGACACTGGATCTAATGAAAGTGGCCACAAAGTGACCAAAGTGGCAGCAAGGCTCACCCAAAAGAACATTGCAACCTTCGAATTGCAGACAGTTACCCGGTTGCTTGAATTAATGGTCATTCAGTGGGCAACGGCTGAGCTGGATGGTCTACGATTGTGGGAGTACTATGGAGATTACGATCCATTGGGTGTCGATGATGATGTTGGCGAGGACGAGGATGAGTACGAGGACCCGGATAATACTGATGCAAATGCAGAGAATCAACAAGGTGGTGATGCAGCGAGTGACAAAGGTATCGACGGAGACTCGGATGATAGGTATGCCAATGCAGAAGTGGAGGAAATAGTGATGGAGGAGGAAGTCGGGAGCCGAAGCAGATAGGGAGGAAGATAGTGAGGGAGAGGAAACGGAGCCGAATGCAGATAGAAAGAAAGGTAGCGATGGAGATGAATCGGAACCGAATGCAGATAGGGAAGAAGGTAGTGATTGAGATGAATCGGAGCCAAAAACCGGGACCGGAGGCAGAATGTTGGAGGTGTACTGGGCAGATGAAGAAACAAGAGCAAATGGTTTCAAGGGAAGGACTAAAGCAGAAAAAAGGAGTCCAGCGTTGGCAACTGAGAGGTACATGCAGGAGGTTGTGGAGTTTCTACTTGGGCGCAAGGAACCAAAGTGGAAGACATATTGAATCCAAGTGTTGCTAGTGATTCCAGCAATGACATGGACTTTCAAGAACTCAATATGAGCTGCCAATCTACACAAAACAACAAACACCATCCAAATCCGGGAGCAATGACGTCACCAATCGCCTAGGGACGCATGTCGTTCGGTACCTTCCAGACCTCGCTGTTTTCGCGAGACCCCATTATGCGCTTCTTAGATGGAGTGTAGCGAGCAAAGCCGAACCTGAGTGTGTTCGGTACTGTTACCACTGTCGCCGATGTAACTATACGTTGTGCATGTATTCGTCATAAGGATCCAACATGAGGTACTTGTACCGGAGTGTAGGAACTAATAAGGAATCAAGAGACGAACGCTGAAAAAACCCGAATTTAGTGAATAGGGTTGAAGATATCCATTTTTCAGTTACAATGATTTTTGAGAAATTCAAATGCTCTCGCCAAGGTACACGTAACCAATTGCAAAGATGCTGTCCTGACATGTCCTGACACTTTGCTTCACCAAGAGAGGAAATGATGAAGGGCGAGACGATGATGACAAGCAAGAGTGACCATGAAGATCCTCCTTGTCTACGTCTGTTGAAGTTCCCCACGACCTGGGACCCTACTACAGTGACAGAGATCCATGTGAGCCTTCGACCCGAATGGAGTCAATTCATGCGAAGATTCTCCCTTGGGTCCCAACCGAGTGATAGCAGTGCCACTCCGTTGACCAGCAATGTTCAAAGAAGCAGACGAAGAATTACAGAACCCATCAGGCTTAGTCAGCCTCAGCAATTCTTGGCGTCTCTGCGAGCCCTTGGAACAACAACAACACTACTAGTAACAACACCCTCAAAGGGACCCTCAAAGGCACAACAAGAAATGGAGACTTCCTTGCAACTGTTGGAACAAGAAGGACCTGGATATCTAGCAGAAGACAGTGAAAGTACCGCTTACACTCTCTACAAGGAATACCTCAACAACTATCAAACAGAACAACTTGACACAAATGATGATTTGGAATTGGACATGATTCCCTATCTACAACTCGATGCCAGTGCTGTTCCTGTCAATAGCTACGACACTACAGACTCACAGCGACTGCTGCTTCTTGGACAGTTACCCACTCACAACAATTATAACAACGACAAGGACAACTCAGACAACCTCATGGCGCAGTTTGCCACGGACTGTTCACGAATGGCAAAACGACTCGATTCCGCCTTTGATTCTTGGAGGTCGAATTCACCTAACAACATGGACGAAAGTTGGAGGAGTTTGTGGACTCCAACGACACCACCCTGCAGTACTACTGGGGAACAGCTGCACCATGCCAGTTGTCCTGACAGACTGGACATTGCATCCACAACCGATGCATGTGCTGTTGACAACGCTATAGAGGAGCTCAACGATGAGACTGAACCGACACTCAGCATCAATGACAAGGCCTTCACAACTACCAGTACTACTAATCACTACCAACACAATCAACAGATTCTTCCCACGGAGTACGACAATGCACAGGCACAGTTCCACAATGTCTTTCACGAGTTTTGGCACTACTATTGTTCCGCCATTACTCAGTTGCGAACACAGGGGATTCAGGAGGAGATAATACTCACGGAAAACCGGACTTGCGGCTCGCACAACAACAACAACGACAACAACAACAACAAACAACACCAATACTTGTTTCTTCCATCATCTTCCAATTCCTTTCAAGAAGACGAGTCCTTGTTCTTTCCATTGAACGTGTACCGGGAATTCTGGCACTATTACCCAGCAGCCATTCAAGAGGGGATTAGGAACTCGTCGTTGCACGGAATGTAAATACAGTAATAATGTAGCTAGACTAGCTAGTTTGCAGTACCGGTACAATTCATGGCTGTTGTTGACTTGCGATCATCACGCAGAGTTGTTGTCAGTCAAAGTGGAGGTCAGGCTTTCATCCTCCACCACTCTTCCGCTGGTAATCATGGGAAGTGTTAGTATACAGCTTACAGCTAGTATACTAAGATAGCAGATCCTCGTGGTCAAGCAGGCAGTTGACATTGCACCGCTACACAAAGATGCAGTGATGGTTCATTCCTCCAAAAAGGATGCTGTAAAAAAATTATTGGCATTGCGAACTGTTTCCAATCATTTCGATGGTGGCCTGGCTTGCCACCACATGTACCTAAAGCACCTATGCCGCCCGGTACCGTACAGTGGTTCGTTCTCTGCAGCCGAGGTCCGAGGTGTGCTTGGACCAAATCAGGGTCGCTGAAACACCAGCCCATGCCCCACTCCTCCGCCTGACTAGGCATTCCCAATAGCTCTCTTTGTAAACTTGGATGCTCGTTAGCTTCAAGCTCAGCCAGCCCCTATTCTACACTTTGATCGTTGGGCCCATACATGTAGGCTCTTTGATCTCCGCTTGCTCCTGTGTGCCGCTGAGTGGCACCTGAAACTTCCAGGAACCATCATCATGGCAGAGGTTGTACTGGTATGCACATGGTATCAGCACGGCATGAGAACTGACTGGCTTGCTGAGGGCAGGCCTTCACGGCGCCTTGTAGATCTAGATGTACTACCAGGTAGTTACAGTAGACTAGCATGAATTAAGTCCAGTGATCAACTTACTGTCTAGCTAGACTAACGAAGCGTATACCTTTCTAAGAAAGATACCGTGAATACTCGAAACTACGCTCAGTTGCCGCACAGGCTTTGGTTTGGTACGCTCAGTCGCCGCGTACTAGCTAGCTAGCCAGACTACTAGCTACCTGGTACCTGGTAGTACTAGTAGGCTAGAGTTTGAAAGGAACCTGGTCCTTAACCCTAATTAGGGTCAATCGGGGGACCGGGTGTGACTTCCCGCGGTCCCCCAGTTGTTAAGTCTTTAGCTTGAGTACGTTTAACACCGATCCCCGGGTCCCCCCAAAACTGCCAATTACTATAGCAAAAACAGTACAGAGTGTTGGTTTCTAGTAACACTCTAGCTTAGTAAAGGTAAAATACTGTTTTACTGTTAAGCTATTTCCAAGAAGTGATCTTTCTCCATGTTTTCTGGGATTGATTCAACTTCAAAGGATATAGTGAAGGGGGTGACCATATAGATCAGTTAAAACTCCCTGTATGTAACTAGAGAATAGATATAGATATCCCTCTAACACTAGATTGGGATAAAAAATAATTTGTATTGAGGTTCTGTAAAACAACCTCCACACACTCTGACACGGTTCCTATAAAGGATACCGTTGGAACGAATAATTAATGTAGATGATTGGTTGCTCAATAAGTGAACAGTTGTTGGTCAAGATACCATACTGCTAGGTTGCTTCGGCATACCGCTTGGTGGCGATAAGCTTGTCGTCCATAGCATGTTGACAAATCTGTCACATCAATAGTGGACATGTGGACATGTGTCGTCATGAACAAGCACTGTGGCCATCACACCTGTGAGTGTTGCCACTACTGTATGACTTGCTGTGGAGAATTGTGCCGTCACTTGAGTTGCTGTTTCGAAACTGGGAAGTTCGATGATCACTATGTTGAACCGTGAATGGCGAAAGTTCCCGGTCACATTGGTATTTGCTGTAAGCTGAACTAGGAAGCTTCCGGCTGCATTCTCCGTAGACCCTCAAACGTGGTGCTAGTTTGCACTGGCGCTGTAGACTGAAACTGCAGACATTGGTATGCCATGGTCTTCAATCGGCTGAATGTGTGGAAACACTCAATCATACGTGCTAGTATGACGGATAGGAAATCAGGTGGGCATTGAGTCTGAGGGCAATAGCTTGGTAGTCGTATCTGGAGGTCGAGTCTTTTGATGCCATTGGAAGTGGAACGTGGGAGCTGTCTCTTCTTGTTGAGAATGGTCAGAGGAAGTGTTGGTGCTGTTGTCTTTTCCAGAGGGATGGAATCCTCTTCTTCCTAGTTTAATTGTGATTGTTGTATATGAGTGTGCTTGCTGTGTGGCTTGGGGTTGCACCTTTGTTTGGGTGCTGCGATGTACTAATTCAGCTTTACAGCTTTAATGCGGGCCTATTGAAATAATCATAACGTTTTAACTTTACATCTTTAGATCGTTTAGTTAATCAATCCACATGTTTTGTCGATGGTAGCATGCCGGGTATGTTAATTCTTATTTTATATGTTATCCTTATGCGTTGTATGATGAGCTATCCTTGGTGCAGATGTTTTTCTTCTATCGGTAGTCCTTCCTTATTTGCACTTATCTGTAGATTGGATCATATGTCCTTTTGTCGATACTTGGATTCGTCGCAAGCTCTCACTTGTTGTCGATCGAAATCGCGATGAGGATCTTATTATCTTGACGACTCGGCTTGTGTCATGCATTGAGTCATGCTTCGGAAGCCATTTCACCCTCTATATTGGGGTTCCTCCAGGTTGTGGTTGCTGTTGCGCTCGGTGTTTTGAACTGGTTTGCAGTTTGTCGTTTGAAAGATAACAACGCGCTGTCGCTGTTAATTTTAAATTTGATCAACTGTGTACCTCACTTATGTCGAACATTACTGGTCTATCACGCTGCCATTGCTCTTTTGTTGCATTGCACTTGTGATTTTCCTGTTTCCTATCATCGTATTATGACCTTGACGGACGTTCCTTCTTTCTCTCTTCATTCATCCTCACCGTACCAGGCATCTTGTCAGTCCACAGGAGTTCGATTTGATCTGATCAGTCATCCCATCGGATCCTCCAACTATGACTGCAGCTCATTCAGTCTCCAGCACATTGGGAATACCAAAGAGAAGACCAAGGTTACAGAAGTCCCTCGGCTTTGAGGTATCAACCACACTGAAGACTGGACAGGATCTGGATCAGATGGACTGGGAAAGAACCAAGCACCTTGCTCGGGCGTTTTTCATGGAGACTGACCATGCTAACAACACCTCCACACCACACTCCGCCAGGATTGGGGAAGTTCTCCCTTGTCTCTCTTCTTACTTTGACGGTCCATGCTCTGGATCTCATTGTTGCCTCTTTATGCTTTGGAGTTGATGAAGAGCATGGAATGAAGGGTCTTTGTTGATCCTTAGATACTAACCACCCTTAACCAATTTAGCACCGTCTGGGAGGTTCGATCTATGTGGCAATGGCATCAGGACTTCACAGTCAATGGGGTCGGTCTCATCGATGCTGGAACTATTAAGCAACATCCTGTTTGCAATTATGATCTAACCAACCTTGATTGGTCGGGAAAGGCTGTTTGG